GTCGGACCTCTGGGGAAGCGGGGTGGACAACGCTGGCGCCGGGGACGACGCTGGCGCCGGGGACCACGCTGGCGCCGGGGACGACGCTGGCGCCGCCGGGGACGACGTCGGTGGCCCTCGCCACCACGACGCCGCGCGAGCCGGTCGTCTCGCGGGAGTGGCGGCTGCGCGACGCCGGGCAGGCCAATCCGCACGCCGGGCCCGGCGCTGGGCCGAGCACCTGGGACATCTACGAGGCGTCAGAGCCCCGAAGCATCAGGGGCCCAGACCCCCTCGAGTCATGAAAAACTCACGACGGGAGGATTTTCGTTATTTTTGGACCCTGGGGGCCCTTACCGGCCCTCGGGACCGTCAAAAAACGACTCAGGACGAAAAGCCGGTCCTGGGGAATGGGTCCAGACCGCTGGGGGTCGACGTCATGAAAAAATCTTCACGTCGGGGGTCTGGGGGTAGTTCGGGTCAGGGCTAACTCGGGGTCGATTTTTCGGGAAGCCGAACCCGAGTTGCCCCGGGCCCGAGTTACCCCGGATACCTCGGGCGTCCAGAGCCCCGAATCATCAGGGGTAACTCGGATCAGGGCTAACTCGGGGTCGATTTTCGGGAACCCGAACCCGAGTTGCCCCGGGCCCGAGTTGCCCCGGATAACTCGGGCGTCCAGAGCCCCGAATCATCAGGGGCAACTCGGGTCAGGGCTATTTCGGGTTCGCTTTTCGGGCATCCGATCCCGAGTTGCCCCGGGCTCGAGTTACCCTGGATAACTCGGGCGTCCAGAGCCCCAAATCATCAGGGATAATTCGGGTCAGGGCTAACTCGGGTTCGTTTCTCGGGAAGCCGAACCCGAGTTGCCCTGGGCCCGAGGTACCCCGGATACCTCGGGCGTCCAGAGCCCCGAATCATCAGGGGTAATTCGGGTCAGGGCTAACTCGGGTTCGTTTCTCGGGGATCCGAACCCGAGTTGCCCCGGATAACTCGGGCGCCCAACGAGGTGGAGTTCTACTCCTCTTACGCTGCTGGGCAGGAGGCCACCGCCGACGCCCCCGACCAGCCGCCGCGGTGCACGGGGTGGCTGCAGCCGGCGTCGGTCACTGCCAGCAGCGTCTACAGCACCGGCCGCAATGGCCCGGACGAGGCCATTGACGGGGTCGTCAAGTGGGGCAACGGCTGGAGATCGGCCAACCTCAGCGCGCCGGGGGCGTGGCTGCAGGTGAGCTTCGAGAGCCAGGCGACGGTGCAGTGCGTCCGTCTCTACCAAGAGAGCAGCGGCGACGGCAGCAGGTTCGACTACGTGGTCTCACAGGTCGCCCTCGAGGGCTTTGACCAGGCAGAGGGCGTCTGGAAGGAGACGTCCTGGTGGCGCGACGGGTCCGGCGACGTGGTCAGGCTGCCCGGTTGGCGCTGGATCACCCTGGCCGCCGGCGCGGTCCCAGAGCTGGCCCCAGCGGAGTGCCCGAACCAGATCGACGGGATCTCGAGGGAAGGAACACGCTGACCATGACCAAGCTGTCGCGGGATCTCGTCCACGCCGCTCCCAGTCGTGGTCCATGCTCGGCCCCCGCCGCTCCGCGAGGAGCGCTGACCAGCATGGACGGTGACCAAGATCGGCACGACGCCTCCGAGTGCAGCCTTGGCGAGGAGGAGGAGGAGGAGGAGGAGGAGGAGGAGGAGGAGGAGGAGGAGGAGGATGAGGGCGGTGAGACGGAAGGCGGAGGAGGACGGAGGAGGAGAATGAGGAGGAGGAGGAGGAGGAGGAGGAGGAAGGAGGAGGAGGAGGAGGAGGAGGAGGAGGAGGAGGGGGAGGGGGAGGAGGAGCACGGCCCCCGCCCCCTTCCCCTCCAGGATCGGGGACCTGCCGCCCTCGGGCCACATGTCTCTCTGCTGCGTCTGGCCGCAGCTGTCCGACGCGCCGGCCGCTGGCTGGCTCGACTGGGTGGAGGGCGGCGACGCGGGCGGCGGCGGCGGGCGGCGGCGGCGGCGCGGCTGCGCCGACGGCGCGACGGTGCAGAGCGGGAGGCACTGCCAGCTGCAGAGCCCGAGCTGCGGCACGACGGGCGACATCGAGTGCGTCAACGGCACGATGGTCATCCCATGGGGGCAACGACGGCGACGACGACGACGACGACGACGACGCGACGACGACGACGACGACGACGACGACGGCGGCGGCGGCGGCGGCGGCGGCGGCGGCGGCGGCGACGGCGACGGCGACGGCGACAGCGACGACGACGGCACCAACGATGACGATAACACGGACGACGACGACGATGACGACGACGACGAGGATGTCGACGACGACGCTGGAGACGCCGACAGCGGCGGCGGTGACACCGACACCGCCGACACCGACACCGACGGCGGCGGCGGCGACGGCGGCGGCGGCGGCGGCGGCGGCGACAACGAGCGCTTTCAGGGGCCTCGGGGGGTTGTTTGGGGGCCTCTTGGGTGCCTCGTGGGGGTCTCTTGGGGTTCTCTGAGGTCTCGTGTTGGGCTTCTTGAGGGCATCCTCCTGGGAGCCTCTCAGGCCGACGGGGATCCCCGTCTGTGCTCCCTCTTGGAGCCGTCTTGGGAGCCTCTTGGGCTGTCTTGGAGCCCTATTGGGCGGTCCTGGGGCTCCCTTGGATCATTTTGGGGCCCTCTTGAAGGCCTCTTGGGCGATCTTGGGGGTCTCGTGGTCTGTCTTGGAACGTCGGGAAGCCGACAAGGCGAGAACGCCAAAATCTTTAGAAGACTGAAGGACAGTCAATGATTTTTGCCCCTCGGGGCCCTATTGGGAGTGCTCTTGTAGGCCTCCTGGGGGGCTTTGAAAGCCTCGCTGCTCTGGCGCCTTGGACCGACGGTTGGCGATCCGGGGCCGTCGAGGACCGTCTTGGGGGCCTCTGGGGGCACTCGTGTCGCGTTCTGGGGCTCTTCTGGGCCCCAGAACCGCACGGGGTGGATGCGCATTTGGGTTTAAGTCGGGCATGTCCTTCTAGAGGAGGGATAGGCACAAACGGTCTAATGATACCAGAGAAGAGCCCCAATCATGGGGCTATAGGGCTATTGGGCTATTGGGCTATAGGGCTATAGGGCTATAGGGCTACAGAGCTGTAGGGCTATAGGGCTATAGGGCACCCCCGGGCACGCCCGGACACCCCCGGACACCCGGGCACCCAGGCGTGCGGCGAAAATCGGCGGCAAACCTAAGCTAACCGTGTGAATCCGCGAGGACCCCTACGCAGAGGCAAGCTCTGATGGGGGAGCGATCGTCCAGGGCCGATTTTTTTTGTTGATACTGTGTTTGGCTATTCGGCAACTTGTTGGGACTATTCTTTCCAAAAGGGTCGCCCAAACTCCGCACGTGGGGGGACACGCCTCCGGGGACCCACCCCCTGTGGAGTGGCCCCCGCCTCGCCGGGGAGGGGTCGCGGGGGAGGGGCCTCCCAGGGGCAGGGGCCTCCAAGGGGTGCCTCGGCGAAGCGACGCTGCTCCGCGTGGCGTTGGCTGGCGCGCGTCGGGAGGAGGGCCCAGGGAGAGGAGACGGAGGCGACGACGGAGACGACGATGGACGGAGACGACGAGGAGACGACGGAGACGGAGGCGACGACGAAGACGACAGGGAAAGACGGAGACGACACGACGACGACGACGGCGACCGACGGAAGAGCGTCTTCCATCCGCCGACTCGGTTGGCGGATTTTCCACCGCCGAGTCCAGGTCGATATTTGTTCCCGTGCGGCAGCGGCACGATGGCCTCGGGGCCTTTCAGATCGAGTCGAGCTCCGCGCCACGTGGAGTACGTGGATCGGCGCTTTGGGCCCCACCGGTGCGCCCCCAGCGGTTCGGCTGCCCTTTGATGTATGCAGTGTTTTTGTTTGTCTCCCAGGTCATGAGGATGATAGGGGAGAATGTCGAGCGGGGCGAGGCTGCCACCGACAGCTGCGTGCAGCAGCAGGTCGCGCAGCTGACGCACCACCCCGTCGGCTCCGCCGTCGAGGTCTCGGTGCTGGTGCACAGCCCTTACTGCTCCAAGTTCACCATCCGAAGAACAGAAAGGGGCACAGACATGCTTCTCGGAGCTCCGTGCGCCCTTCTGTGGGGCTCGGCGCTGGCCCCCCCCCTCGGCAGGAGGGGAGGAGGAGGAGGAGGAGGAGGAGGAGGAGGAGGAGGAGGGAGGAGGAGGAGGAGGAGGGCGGAGGAGGAGGAGCGAGGGAGGAGGAGGAGGAGGAGGGAGGAGGGAGGAGGAGGCCAGGATGAGGAGGAGGAGGAGGAGGAGGAGAGGAGGAGCGAGGAGGAAGAGGAGGAAGCGGAGGAAGAGGAGGAAGAGGAGGAAGAGGAGGAAGAGGAGGAGGAGGAGGAGGAGGAGGAGGAGGAGGAGGGGGAGGAGGAGGAGGAGGAGGAGGAGGAGGAGGAGGAGGAGGAGGAGGGGCCCCCTGGCGCTCTGCGCGCGCCAGCGAGGAGGGCCCGGCGCCGACCCGGGAAGTCCGCCCGGAGCTCCGGAGGTGTTTCCGCTCGTGCGCCGTTGGTCTTGGCATCGCTCGGACCCCAGACCCCCTCGAGTTATGAAAAAATCACGACGGGAGGTTTTTCATGATTTTTACCCTTTGGGGGCCCTCACCGGCCCTCGGGAGCGCCAAAAAACGACTCAGGACGAAAAACCGGTCCTGGGGAATGGGTCGAGACCTCGGGGGGTCGACGTCATGAAAAAATCATGACGTCGGGGGTCTGGGACGTGTGCATTTTTCCTTCGGCGAGGGCCATCGTCGAGGAGCATCCTTGATCATTTCGCGAACAAGCCACGCACGAGACCGACAAAAAAACGGGAAATGGACGTCCGAGCGATGGCCAGTTTCTGCTCGTGCGCCGTTTCGGTTCCTCGGGCCATCTCGGGACACCCTCTGAGCCTGTACAACGGCGAGTACGTGCAGCAGCCCGCGTACCGGAACCACCGGCCCTGGTTCGCGAACGGCCAGCGCGGGAAGCTCTACTGGTACGACGGCTGCGACGGCGGGCAGCCCGGCTGGAGCCTGGACGACCGGCCCTTCCTCAGCGAGGGCTGCACCAAGTGGCAGCGCGGCGGCTGGCGCCCCGCGTCCAGCCACGGGAGCCTCCCCAGCGGCACGCTGCAGTGGCTGTCTGGCGAGATGGCCCCCGCCGAGGGGCTCCCGGGGAAGCACAAACAATGGAGAAGGAATCAGTACCGATGCCACGAGATTCGCGGTTTTCGCGCGTTGCCGTCTGTTCTCGGCGGCTTTCCAGCCTCGGGGTGCTCTCCAGCAGCTGCGCCTCGCCGAGAGCGTTGCGGGGGTGACAGGATCGTCCCGAACGGCTGCCAGAGAGCCGAGGTATGACCAGACAACTTGGCGGCAGAGGTACCGATTCCGCGATACCTTACCTTCGTTTCCCTCTTCTCCAGGCCTTCTGGGAGGCCCTCGTCGCACGGGCTGGATTCGCTCCGAGAAGCTGGTCAGAATGCACGCCGGGAGAGGTCCCGAGAGAAGCGGAGTGGAGTGGGTACCTTTTTCAGTTTTTTCCCAATTTCTGTGCCTCCCAAGTGGGTTTCGAGCAGATGGGGATGGGGTCGGGGGATCGCTCCACATCGCCGATGCATCGGCGAAGCGGCGCGATCCTCCGACCGCATCTGCCCACATCCCGTTTGGGAGTCCTCTGAAAATTTCGTGCGTACACATACATTGTTGGAGATCCGCGCAGATTTCGTGGGTCGGCGCTGGGGACCCCCTGGCGGTGCCTCTGGCGCCGCCACTGGCGCCGCCACTGGCGCCGCCACTGGCGCCGCCACTGGCGCCGCCACTGGCGCGCTCCGCGCGCCATGGAGGGGTATCTGGCGCTGATTCATGAATTCCGTGCGGGGTTCCGAAAGCTCACGATTTTACCGTTGTTGTTCCTCCGTAGGCGTAAGTCGGGCCTGTCCCTCTACAGGGGGAATATTTATTAAAATAGGGAAGAAATTGTCTGGGAACGAGCTTCCTAGTATGATTCGACAATGTTTAAGTAGTTCTTCTTGTGCTTGTCATTTTTCGTTGACAGTCGGCCTGTAGGGGGACATGCCCGACCTAACCGTAGGCTCAGCTGGAAGCTGGACTGCGAGGGCAGCCACTACGTGATCCTCGGGGCTGGGGACTGCCGGGACGGCGCCGGCATGTCCCCGAACTCCTACTACCAAATCGGCCAGCACACGCACCTGACCTGCAGGGCTTGCAGGGTGGCCAGACTTAAGTCGGGCACGTCCCTCTACAGGAGGAAAATGCAAAAATGGTAAGAAATAGTCTGGGGGCGACTTTTCGATGATTGTTTGCTATTCCTGGTTTCTTTTAAGACTACTGTTCATTTGTCCTCCGAAAGCCGCATGTGGGAAGGCACGCCCGACCTAAGGCCAGCCTGAAACAGCTCCCTATCCTGTGGATTTGTGATCGTTTTTGTCATTCATTGTTTTGCCGATCGGCGCGGGCCCTCGCACCCCCCCTCTCCCCCCTGCGGTAGATCTTGGCTGTTTATGGCGCCTGCTTCAAGCAGGTGGACGGCTCCCAACAGGACTCCCCATGGGAGCCCTGTTCCAAACAGTCTCACCAAGCAGAGGTCCAGAGCCAGACCCCCCCCTCCCCCCCCCCTTCCGCCCAATCGCGACACGCCGAATAAGAAAACGGCCACTACTGGCATCATCTTATCTCGATGCCCATCTTCAGGATCCCCTCCGTTGCGCAGGGTGTATCCCTAAGCTTGTCCTCGCCCTGGGGCCTGTCAGATCCTATGGTTCAGTCGGGCATGTCACTCGACATGGGGGAATACCCAGAAACAGTCCAGAAGCAGTCTGGGGACGATCGTCCTACTATTTTTGGTGGCCCTTTCTGTGGAAAAGTATGTCTGTTGGGTATGTTTTGATTCTTCGTCCAAAATCCGCCTGCAGGGGGACATGCCCGACCTAATCCTAGGGGGGTATGGGGCGAGCTCGAGGCTGGTCCTCGGCGAGCCCCCCGCCCGGCCCAACTCCGCCCAGGGTTTATCCGCTCCCCTCCCCTCCTCCTCCACCTCCTCCTCCTCCTTCTCCTCCCCCT